GATAATTTTACACTGCTTTCCACTAATTGCAGTAAGCTATTCAAAATATATATTATAAAAACTAGGAACCAGAATCTAAGCTTCAAAACCTCTCCTGCTTTGCAGATTTTAATCAGTTTTACCGCGGCGTGAGAAGTAAGTGACAGAAGCACCTTTAAAATGATGGTTATATGGGAAGGAAAAAACAGAGGAGCATGGGCAGAGAGCAGTCCCTGGCTTCTGGGGGAAGAATAGGGTAGTGTCTGCAAGGTGTCAGGATGCAGGAAGGACCCGCATCCTTGCTACTCATCTAGCAAATCAAGGAGCCTTAATGCAACATGTCTGCATGAAAAATGTCCTCGTTCTCTCTGGTCAATGAGATCTTCACTGTAAGCACCATGTGCTTCCCAGGAGGGCACAGGCTGCCTTCTGGGCTGAGGCTGCTGGAAGGTTTTGGAGCGCTACCTTTCCGCTGCTGTTGTAACAACTAAAGGAAACCGTTTTAAAAAGGGGTTTCTTTGTGCAGTGGAAGTTGACACTGTGCTTACTGATAAGGTGTCAGGCCCCATCCGAAGTAGACATTCTCGAGAACTAAAGACAATTTAGGAATGTGATGGCAAAATCCACTGCACCACCTCAGGAATGTGATGGCAAAATCCACTGCACCGCCAAGTCCTCACAGCTAGCTGACAGCTGATAAATACCTGGAAATGCTCTACATTCTCCTTATTACATTTATTAATATTAATATATGCTAAAGGAGCACCAGCAACACTAACTACAGGTACAGTTGAACATTTGTGCAGTTTTCATAAATAGTGGAAGCAGTAACATTAAACATATGCAGGAATCCCCATAGTTATAAATATTTACAAATACTTATTTTGGCAAGAGCACCTAATTCAGATGTTCCTAGCTGCACTCCCTAATACAGTGTGCATGTCTGTCACACAGTATACTCCTCAAATTGATAGTTGAATTAGTCTGAATGCAAGGGATTTCCCTTGGCGTATCACTTTGTATTTCAGAAATATTTAAATTTCATTACAGTTGGGAGAAAAAACACACCGCTCCAGCTACGCGCAATTAACACACGGGTGTTGCGGAGTCGGTGTTGATTCATTTGCCGGCAAGAGAGAGCTAATGTATTATGTGGTACGTGAGCACGGTCTCGCTCGGTAATTATAATCCTTATCAGAGCCACCTGAGCGTCTCTTGGTATGGTGTGAACTGCAGTTCAAGAGATGCTTACAGATTCCTAACTTGGGCACTTTCCAAAAGACCCCCGCGTGAGAGATTGCATCCCACTCAAATGCAGCTCTGACACATTTTGCCTTTAGACATCAGTAGGCTTTTTTTTTTCCACTGAGATAGTCAAGGGAAGGTTAAATGCCAGACCAAGCCCACAATGTGCGGGTATTACTTTGGCAGAAGTTGTTTAGTGCATGACGCAGGAGGGAGGTAAGACCTCGCTGCAGTTGACCACACACAGGTCTGAATGCTTGCTACCTGGCAAAATTTGCCTCGATTGCTTTAACTGAAGCAGAAGCTCATATTTTTCTGAAGTTTCAGTTTATTTTGCGCATGGGACAGCTTTTTGTGTGTTATCAGATTTCCTGGTTCTCCTGTTAGTCAGTTGGTGGTGAGTTCTCTTGCTGCTTGTGGGTCTCTTTTTCGCAAAGTGTCAGCAGAAAAACTCATTTTTAAATACTAAAATTAAATTGTAAACCCCCCAAAATATAAAACTGGGGCAAGTCTAGCATCAAGCAAGTTTTAAAGCTTTTTAAAGTGAAGAAGGGCCTTTTTGCACAGAATACTATGGTTTAATGTGATAGTTATATTCCCTCTGGCTCTAATATAACAAGATGGTTGTCAGTAGCAGCAAGGATGAGCAATGCAAGCCTCACCTTGGGTGAGCACCCCAAATCCTTATCTGAGGCCCTAGGAGCGGTTGTGAAACCTGGATGCAGTCTGCGCAGCAGGATCGCCTGAGCTGGTGAAGGCACTGCATTGCCAGCGCCCCTGCCTTTTGCTGAGCCTGCACCATATATTTCCTGTCACATGCTGTCTGTGCGGTTCGTTTTCAGCCCTAAGTGTGGAGAAACATTCATGCTGTAAGAAGGTATCACAGTTCAGACAGAGCACTTGAATGGGGTTTCTTCAGTCGTTTTCTGAGGTTACGGCAGATACCAACAAAGTGCTTTGTTTTTGCTTTTCATGGATGCGATTGGAGACGTTCTTTCATTTTTTCTAAATTTTTATTTTTTCAACTTTGAAAAGGTTTGAAAACTATATTAAGAATAGGTTTTGTGGAAACTGGGGTCAAAATCAGTGGAAACAATACATCTCTAATGAAACTTCTATAAACCACCCAGATACAAATTGGTCTTTTCATTTACATTTCACTACAGATGTCAATGAAAGCACAGTTCCTTCTAAAGCATCCTAATGTATGTAAACCATTGCAGGAAGCATAGCGTGCAAAGCCTAGGAGACTGCAGATGGAGAGAAAAGGCTCCTGATTTCATAAAAATAACAAAACCTGTTTTAACATATTGTGCATTAAATATTGTTCATTTGCATACTTTCTATGGCTAGGTTATAAAAGCCCACCATGTGGTGGACTTGTTGGAAGTCTGAAAAGATACTCTTTCTCCAAATGGAGATGTGTTAGTGGAAGCTGCTGCTTAATTATAAAACAAAAATAACTAGTTTTCTCTATTTTTTTTTTTCCTTTTGTAGGGTTTTGGAGTCTGGTTTTTTTTGTTGTTTACATAAAATTCAATAGAATTAGGAAGGGAAACATAGGTGCAATCACCGCAAATTCTGCTAACTGGGGTTCGGTGTTTTACAACAGTCTGCCTGCTTGGAACCGGTAGCAGCAGGGACTCCTCCATCAAGAGTTTCCAGCAGATAGCCAGGCAGATTGTGAAGTACCTCTTACATTATTTTTTTGCATCTTTATATAGAATTGTACAATTTTATATGTATCGTATATAGCGTACCCGTGGCTGAAACATTGGATAGTACAAATACACAGTGCCACAAAGTAAAATAAGAAATTGCTGTCAAAAGCGTAGATAGAAAAATGTGCAAAAGGAGAAGGAAAAATCAGTGTATGTGGGGTGCACATACAGAGTCTTGCGTGCACACACACACTGTCACGGTTTGGAGAAGGATGGAGTGAAATACCTTTTTGGAGGGAACAGGTTCCCCATGGCTTGGCCCAGTCCCATTCTACGTAGAGGATTTTGTGAACCTGGAACAGTGGGTGGTATCTGAGCACAGGCACACGTTAAATCCAGCCTTGGAGAAGTCTCATCTATTGCCACAGCGGTAAGGGTTTTGAAGGTTAAGGTTGCCAACTTAAAATCAATCTGCTAGTTTATAAGCTGCCAATGTAAAGAGTGCGGGGTAGGCGTAAGGCAGTTGGGGTGGGGGGAGCCGGTGTGCTCCTGCATTCAGGGGGGTTTGCAAGGGTAATCGGAGCAGCGCAAGTAGTTGACTTTAGCACGTATCTTGCCAGAGAGGGTACAAATGAAATTGGGAGGTGGTGAATTTTAGTTGAGCTTTTTTTTATTTTTTTAAGAAAAAGCAATTTTCAGTGGAACTCAAGGGAGGAGCCCTGTGCCAGGGAAGCTCCTTTTGCAAGCCCCATGGAGATCCATTCACACCTAGCCAAGCTGCAAGCTGCTGAGACTTGTCATTTGTCATCTGCTTTTCCACAGCCCGGCTTGCTCCTGGCTGGCTTTCAAGATGCGGGGTGTTCTCTGAGCACTGGCAGGGACCTCCCCAGGGCCCGGCAGATCAAACCACCGCCTCCAGTGCCTGAGGGAATCCCCCCTGCACCCAAAAAGGATGCTCTGGGTGGGGGAGATCCACCCCAAATTTCCCAGGAGATTGGTTTGTCCACGCACATTTTCCAGGTGCTAGGATTTGGAGACGCAAGGAGGGACTTGTGGATAGGGACGGGAGCCTTGGTGCTTCAAGTCTTGAACATCCCATTTGATGAAAGCTTTGCAGATCTTGACCTTAATTAGGCAGTCTGTCTCTCGGTTCTTCCCGTGAATGTGTGTGAGTCAAGAGGGCTGAGGTAAATCCTTCCTTCAGAGAGTATTGGAAATTTTCTTTATAATGAATCAATTCTATTATAATTAGGCTCAGAAATGGGTGGTGATCATGCCCACAAGGCAGCTAGTGCTTTTGCATTTAGCTTGGGGTGTGAGGCAGACGGGAAGTGACCAGTGGTTGATGAAGTTAAAAAGATATAGTTGTCCCAGTCCATGGGAACCCCTCTATATACAGAGAGAGAGGGAGGACTGCTGGAGAAATAAGAGTGCAAAGTCGTGTAATTAAAGGCTTATTCAAAAAATGATATATGCAAGGGAACTGAACTGGTCTTGCAAAGCCTGTGTTGATGATGGCATGTTTTGCTGCAGGTGCTTGACTTAGTGAGCTCCTTCATCATAGGGTTTGTATGCAGTGAACATATGAGTATTCATATTAAAACTTCCTAATGGGCTTTTACTTAAAGCAGACGATGGAGAGAAAATGAAGATCCAGCTGGAGTAGTAGTTTGTACTGGCTCAGCGCAGGATTCAGGCACCAGGTTCCGGCAGGGTAGCAGTGGCAGCAGACGGCTCATGGAACCCAAGGGGGGCCCCAGCCGCACCCTTTGGCAGCAGCAAAGTGATTGGGGAAGCACCTGTTTGGGCGGAAGCTTTTTGTCGCTTTCTCAAATTAGGTGCTTTCTGAACAGGATGCTTGTGCTTGTAAACAGACCGTGCCCTGAAGCCTGGAGCATATAGTGCCTGTGGTTTAGCATAAGTGCTGTCCTGAATTAGAAATGGGGCTACATGAAGCGCCTGTGAGTCTTAGCGCAGGAGCGCCTAGACAAGGAAAATGCCATTTTTCCCATTTCTATGAATTAAGCAACGCTATTGTCACCTGATAGCAGCTTCTGGTTTAGTACTGGGAAGTCTGACAGTGTTGCTCTTTTTCCCCTCGTCTCTTCTCCACAGCAGCAGCAGGAGATGCTGGCAATGAAGCATCAGCAGGAGCTGTTGGAGCACCAGAGGAAGTTGGAGCAGCACCGACAGGAGCAGGAGCTGGAGAAGCAGCACCGAGAGCAGAAACTTCAGCAGCTAAAAAACAAAGAGAAAGGAAAAGAGAGTAAGTAGCAAAAGCTCACTTGTTTCAGTGATGACAGGTAGAGCAGATGAATGGAAGCTGTAAAGCAGCTTTATAAAGCTGCAGAAACCATGATAGCCTCTCTACAGAGCTTGGCTGCACAGGGAGCTTATGTAAACTGTTAAGAGGTATTGAGGGTAAGAGAGAAATGTATTTCTATGCTTTATCTTCATTTGTGTCTTACTAAATGCCATTTTAGCATTTTTCAAAAGGAAGCGTATCGTCTCTTTACTTGATTTAACATTTTTGAAGTATTTTTGGCAGCGTTCCTAATGGAGGCAGAATATTAAGCCCATAAAATACACCAGATGCACACTGCATTTCTTTTACTTTTCTTAATTTCACTCTTTTAAGATGTAGCCTAGTTCTCAGTTCTTAGATTTAAAGTGTTTTCATTCAGAAAGTACTTCTTTCATGAGGTTACATATTGTGGTTGGCTTTCCCACGTGTCATTATGCACTTCATGAGATTCAGTAAAATGATTACGGCCTCACAAATCCCCTTATCAAAGACACTTTGGTTGCTTGTTCAGTTTTCTTTTAGAAGTGAATGGGAGCACAAATACCTCACCAAGTTGTACTGTCAACTTGTTAGGTCTTCATTTTAAATGAAATAAAGCAGCCTGTGGTGGAAGATGCGGAGAGGGCTGAAGGGTACCAGGAGATGAGATGTTCTTTGGGCACCAGGAACAAGATACCGCTACAAGAACAGCTCTTCTAGTAGGAAAGGACTTGGGTCTAAAAAAAGACTGGAGACAAAAAAATTATCAGAAGTTTGACTTCCCCACTCCCTGCATGTGCATCTTGCAATGGCAGATTTTAAGCTGCAGCCAAAATGAGGGAACCTCACAGACCTACCGCAATATCTTCGCAAAGCAGTTCATAGGAGATCCAGCATGTGTCTGTGTTTGGGTTTTGTTCATTTTAGGCTCTAGAAAGACCAAAGGATCAGGATCTACTTAAAAGAAGCAGTTCAACCATCAGGGGTGAGGAAAGGTGATGATGATGCAGGTTGGGTCTTCTGGTGCCCAGGCTGGCTGCCACACGCAGTGCTTTCCATCGTCCTCTGGACGTTTTGTGTTATTTCCCGAAGTAAAGGCTGTCTGTTCAAACTGGATGAAAGCTATAAGCATTTCCACTTCACCCTGCTGTTCTCATCAACTGTTGATATTGTATCAATGTTTTTCTGGGCAAAACTGATATCTGGCTATTCTCATTAAAGTAATTTGCAAATAAATAAAAATGCCTCAATCTCTGTAAAATGGCAAAGGCATTGAAGCACTTGTTGGATGAAACACAGAGGTGTAGGGGGAAAAGCAGAATTTGGGGACGTTAAGTTGAAAATCCTGTTCCCATGGCTACAGTTTTATTTTTAAATTGCTTTTTATTTAAGAAGTACTATGGTGTATAATCATTATAGTACCTCAGCTCTTAAGAATACTTAAGTTATTTTTCTCGCATCAGAAAATTTTTCTAAGCACAACACAGCTAAAATTGTCCTGATCTGAAATATGAAGAGTGCGTAATAGATGTGTAGTTTATTCTCCCTCCTTCCTCCATCACTGTAAGCCAAAATATATTGTTTTGTACCTTCTAGAAGGCAAATCATGAATCAATTTAGATTAACATAATATTCGCTCCTTGTGTTCTCATCTCAGGAGCCTTAATCTGTCCCTCCTGAACTGGTATCTGCTATCATAAAGCTTTTGATCAAAAGCATGACTTCCACAGAGGGAAGAAAAATGTATATGAAAGTAAAGGTGGTTTTTGCACAGGATAAGGAGCAATAGTTGGTCCTCCTGTCTTTCCACTGTTAGGATTGAACCTAGTACAAGTCCTGTGCAGTGGTGTTTCCAGACGCTTCTGGGCACGGACCATTCAATGCCTTGCTGCTCAGGCAGCCTTGGACCGTGGCTTGTCTTGGACTTTCTCCTACCAGTTGGCCAGCTGTGATCAGCCCACACTATCATTAAAGGCTTTCTGTCATTAATATCTATTTGTTCTGTTCTTCTGCTTTTGCGTTGTGCAACCTCCTCCTCCTCCTGCAAGAGCCTGGTCCTGCTTCTGCCCCCTCTTATTCTCTTCCCACTACCTCTGCCTTCTCCTATATTTGGATACTAATTGATCCTGGGGCAATATGTAACTTGTTTTTGTCTCTGCGGTAGTAACCTGGCTTAGTATTTTGCTTCTTCAGAGCCATCCTGTCTGCAGAACTTTGCTCATTGTTGCTCTCTCCTATTTGCAGTCTTATCAGTTGACCTGCTTTTTGCTCCCTGCTACTCTTAAATGCTCAGGCCCTCCAAAATGAAGCCAGCTTCACAGCTTGGTTTTCCCCACCGTGCACAGCTGCTCCCCCAGCCAGGGCTGCTGCGTGGGCCCTTGCTCTCCAGTTCCTTCTCTCTCATCCTCCTTTTACTCTGCCCAGCCTTTTTCTTCCATTGGGGTCGAGTGTCTTGCTTCCTGCCTGTGGACTTATTCCTTACGTGTGGGCTTCTGATGTCTGACTTCTGCTCTTGTCCACTTTGCTTATACCCCTGCATGGTGTATACTGTTGCGTATGTGACAGGTTGTCCCTGTCTGCCTTTGGAGTCCTCTTTAACATCTTTACTGGATATTGCACAGCGCTTCTGCCTGTAACAATGTGACTGGGTGCAAAATAACTCAGTATAGAGTATTGAAAGTGAGTTAGATTATTTTTTTCTTTTGATCTTTCAACTCAAGGGTCAAGAGCTGAGTAATGGTCAGAAGGTCTTGCATGACAGCTTGGTCATGGCTCCAGTGTTGTCCAGGGCAGGGGAAGCCTACATGGTTTTATCTTGTTAAGCATATATGGGGCCTTTCAGCTTCTAATTAAGGAGGAATACATGCCAAGGGAGCTTCTGTAAACCTCAGGATCCAAGAACGTTTAGCTTCAAGTCTTCTAAATAATGCCAGCTTTATGCAAAACTGACAGAACACAGCCATATTTGATGATTTCAAAGATGCTAATAGATTAAAAATGACACTTTTTGGAGAGAGAAGGCCTTTAAGTGTGAATTTGTCACCTATTCCAGTCTAGCCATGTGGCCTGCTATGCTCATATGAATTTATCTCCAGCTCCTCAGCTGAACTTCCCATTGGGCTACATGCCAAACCTATGTTTGTAGAGCTAGTAAGAAATGCAGGGCTACAAAAAGGTGAATTGTCAAGGTTTTCAATGCGGCTTCAGTGATTGAACAATATTACATCTTCAGGCAGTGTTTTATAGAAATACTGCAGTTTTTTTTTCTTGTGGAGATACAAGAAATTGTTTCCCTGGTCTGTCAAATGTCATCGTTGAGTAGCATCCAGGAGACAAAAGATCACCCTGTCATATTTTAAGTTTTTATTCTCAGTAGAGCAGACAGTTTTCCTGTCCTTTTCATTTTCTTGTAGCCCAGATATTTTCCTTTGGAATTCTTGCTTTACGCCGTGGTATAGATGAACCATCATTTTCCACGTGTTCTGCTTGCCAAACTTTCTATGCATTACTCCATCAGGAACTCTGCCTGCGAATCTGTTCTGTCAACCAAATGATAATTTTAATCCATCATCGCAGTAAAACAGACTAGTCTCTATTGTGGAAGAAATAATGATTAGAAATTACACAGTTGACATTTTAACTCTATGCTACAAAATTACTGACTTTCTTCTTTAAATGTTAGATTTTCTATTTGAAGAAATAGATTGCACACTTGTAAATGAATTGGAATATTATGTAGGTCTTATTGTACACAGATACTTTTGAACAAAGAGGTCCCTATTTACAAGAGTTTTCAAGACAAAATCTACATATGAGACATTTGTCTCATTCCCCTTCTGCTTGCAGATGTGACATTTAAAAACTTGAGTGTACACAAGACCTTTTTTCTTAAATACCTTTGATTAAAAGAAAGCTGGAATACCTAGTACAAGTGCTTTATTCTAAGTGTACTTTTATGCAAGTGTAAAAATCCTCTTCAGAAATCTTTTATAGTAAAATGATAAATCTCTGATTAAATCTCTGTTTTCAAACATAAGTTTTGATTATATGCAAAGCTAAAGGCAAAGCAAAAAAAAAAAAAAAAGAGAGAGCTCCTTACAGGAGGCGCTTTGTTCTTTTCTCTTTGAAAGAAAAGTTCTTTTGGACTGGAAATCAAAGATTTAATTCTGAATCTTTAGAAATTTAAATTCTTTAAAGTTTGTGAATTGATTACATAACCTTTTTTATTTTTGACATTTCAGGTGCAGTGGCAAGCACAGAAGTGAAGATGAAATTACAAGAATTTGTCTTAAATAAGAAGAAGGCATTGGCACACCGGAATCTCAACCACTGTATATCCAGTGATCCTCGCTTCTGGTATGGGTAAGTGGTACTGGGCTTGTCTTTACGATTCAGCCAGTGCCACCTTTTTTCACAGTTGCTGGAGATGTGGGGAATAGACCTGATGTGTTTACTGAATGAACCAGAGGAATCATAGAACCAGGGTTTGAGTTTGCTGTACAACATTACCAAAATGCATTTTTCAGAGGGTTTCAATGTGAATAAGTCTCATATCTTCTGTGATGTATTTTTGTGAGTAGACATCTTTGCTGTCATCTTTAACCCATGATTATTCAAACCCGCAAGTTCATCAAGATCAACATTTATAAGTTCTCTAGCTTTTCACCCAGGATTTCGTCCTGCCAGGTGTTATAAAACTTGAACTTTAGTAAAATGGATAAATTACTTTTTATGTTTAGTGAACTGCAGCTCAGAATAGTTGAGCTAGCATTATATTTTTAAAGCCTTTAATGCTTACTGCTCATCTTAATCTCTCAGAGTTAGAAGTTTTCTTTACTTGGCTCTTCTCTAAACTGATGGAAACATCAAGCGCCTCCTGTTTGCACTGCTTATTGCAACTGCCCCAACATCTACATTTTCCACTGAAAATTTTCAACTGTTGGTCTCCATGAAAACCCAAAAGTCATGTGGGGTGAGAAGGTAACAGCTGGTGTTACAATGTTATGGGAACAAAAAGTGACTTCTTTGATTAGTTCAAATGCACCAAATAGCAAATATAAACCATGGCATTATTAACAAGGTACAAGTTTCAGTTCCAGAAATTCACTTCTTCATTGTGTAAAAGGAAATTGGAAAATTTGATATGATTTGAAAACTTCCACTACTATGACATCGTGAACATCTATATTTTAAAAACAAAATGAAAAAAAATAGAGTGTTTTGGATGTTGTTTTTAGTGACCATAGTATTAGTGAAATTTTGAATGACAAAAGTCAAGGAAATTTTGCTGTGAAATTTGGGTTCAAGCTGGGTGTCTGACAGTATTTTAAGTCTTAAGAAATTAACATGTATACAGGGATGATGAGGTCATGGTCAGAAGATGTTTCCAAATTCAAAAAACTAAGCTGAAATTAAATTTGAAAGATATCCCAGCTATGAGCCAGTGCAGAAACAATGAAGTATAGTTGGCAGAAAGATTCAAACATTATTCCAGTAGGGTGAGATTGAGTAGTTCTAAGACATCTCTGAAAATCTAATCTGAGACTTGAAAATTGTATGGTTATGGCACTGGTTAAAGTAGTGAAATGTTGTTAGTTTGTGCAAAGATAATATTTAAGGCCCACTAGGTTGGTGTCAAGGATAGTAGAAGAAATAGGAGAAGCTGAATTTCAGTCAAGGCAACAAAAATATCTTTTTTAGATAACTGATTTTCCGCTGTTTTTAATTGAGACTCACCAAGAAATTTGGGGATTTTATTAAAGGTGGTTGAAGACTCTGAGCCACTATGTCCTCCATTTTTTTGCAGTTGGTTAAAATGCCTGTTAATGCAAAAGTGGCATAAAGTCAATTAGAATTAAGGATAGTAAATAAGTGCTTTCTTCCAAAACCTTTGATCCTCTGGCCCTAAAGAAGCCCCGCATAGAATTGCCATCACAGTTAATTCAGAAAAAGAGAAAAATAAATTTGGGAGTGATCTGAATTCCTTATGTTCCTTATATTCCTTATGCACAGTTTTCAATTAACTGCTTTTTCAGAGACAATCCAGCATTCAGAGGTGAATCAAAGAGCAGGGGTCTGTTGATACCTTGCATCTTACAGGGCCAGGTGTGATACAGAGAGGTTATTTAGCCAAGTTGTGTTTAAGGTTTCAGTATGTTTCCTGCTTTGTTTTAAGCTAATGCTGAGAACTTTCTGAGCACCAGTATATTGTTTAGGTTTCTTGTGGCATATGTTAATCAAAAGATCCTTTTCCTGCGATGCTGCAGGGATGCCAACAGGTAGAGACAACGTACAAACTGTTGCACAAGGGGCCATCCTTTTTCTTATGGATTTAATGGGCTTGCCATCCCCTCATCTTCTCTCCATCTGTTTCATGGTGGGAAGAGGATCAGTATTTTGGTTTCTAACACAAGATGTGAAGAGGGAAGAGCGAGCCTCAGAGGCCGCACAAATCTTTCTAAGGGTCTGGCTCAGCGATAAGTTGCAGGCAGGCGTCAGCTCGTTCCTCTCAGCCTTTGAGGAGGGCAGATGGCAGCAGGGCTGTGTGACTGTAGTGTAGTGTCTTGTCGTGCAGTGGAGGATTTTTAAATGTACACTTCAGTTGTTAAGGCAGAAGCTAAAGATTTTTAGTTTCCATTCTATTTAGGAAAAAAAAAAATGAAAAAAGAGAAAACCTTTAAATTAATTACATATTAGTATTTATTTATATGGTATCTCATAGGTTACCAATTCAGTTGTAGAGATATTTATGTATGCACATACTTCTAATGTGATTTAATTGGATGGTGTTTGGATTTAACACGCTTGCAGAAGATAGACTTGATGCTCCTACTGTGAGCAGGCAAGCCAATTAAGTGGTAACAGATGCTGAAATAGTCTTTTAAATGACGCGCCTGCTTTTAAGCACTTCCTTTGGTCTTATTAATGTTTCTGAATTCCTTTTTTAAAAAATTGAAAGCATTACTTGGAAAAAAACAGATCTCCTGAGGGTAGTGAACACCACAATGGTTCTACGTCAATGGCTGTAACATGAAATATATTCCACTGACGTGAAATAGCTGTAATTCCCCTGACCCTTTGGGCCAGGCTTCAGTTGTCCACTGAGATGTCTGGATGCTTTTGCCTTCAGTATCTTGTATCTGTTTGAACTTCATTCAGCACTGTCGGTTGCTGGTGCAACACTGAGTGTTTATAATCGGTGAATATTTTCTAATTAATCACTGATGTTAAAGGGTGTTGTCGCAGACACACGTGTGGATCAAACCTTGAGATGAAAAGGCACTGGTTTTAGACATTTTGCAGAGTATAGTTGTAGTCCAAAGGAACTACTAAATGAAATAAAGGAACCTGGTAACGCTCAGTAATGTTTCTTGGAGGCTTTCACAGAGGTCTCACTCAGTCTTCAGCTCTATGGTATTCAAGCCACTTTGAAAACTCTGTTTAACATATACAGCTCCAGTCTATATGTAGTTGTTTAAAGTAACTTTGTGGACTATAATTTTTAGATTATGTTGATGATAGACAACAATAGAAGAGGTTCTTTTGAGTTTCATTGGCAGACTGTCCCTCCCATAGATTCTGAACCCGCTGGACGGCCCTGCTCCAAAGGAGGTTTTGCTCTTCAAGATACTCAACATAAGTAAGAGTGACTTAGAAAACAGGGCTATTATTTCCCCAGGAAGTTGTCAGAAATGCTCTTGGGAAGTAGCCACTCGATGCAGTAGCAATCATGAAAGGGAGTTTAACTGAGTATTTGCATGGTAAGGAGGAAGAGAGATATAATTACACGCTAAATTATTCCAATGTACATAGGTGTCTGTAGTATCTGTACATGAAACATTCTAGCACAGACACGTACGTTTGAATACATATTCAGCTTACATTATGTGAATACACTTGAAGTATCGTGCTTGCTTTGCTGTGCGCGTGGTCTTTTGAAGGACCTCAGAGCTCAAAGAGCAGGGGATGTGTTATGTGAAGGTATGTGCTTTCAGGAACGCCTGCAAACTTGATGTAGTATACAATTTCATCCCCTTCAAGACCTCTGAAATTCTTGAACGGGCACGCAGACCAGTGCATTTTGCTCGAAGCAGCATAGGGTGTTGGATCCCAGTCCTTGAGCGATATAATGTATTCCTGTTTGCAGAGTTAAATATCTGTCATTCAGCAACTCTGAAGCACATCTAAACAGGCCCTTTGAGTTCCTGCACATTCCCTAACAAAGTGATGAAAATAGCTTCAATGTACATGATTGTGCAGCTTAAGTCATGATTATAAAAAAAAAAAAAAAAAGAGAGAGAGAAAGAAAACGTCTATTGCTGGTATAGGCAAGAGCAAAAAATGCCATTGTGTGACGTGGTGGGTTTGAGGGCTCTTGGCTTGCAGCGTCCCAGCTTCCTGTTTGTGAAACATCTCTCTGTGCTGCCTTCCTATGGTATGAGCAGATCTGGGCAGAGAAAGCGACTTCTGTTTTCAGGAGGGATTCAAATATTTTTCAGTTTGGTTCTGTTTTGATTTCAGGTGATGATTAAACTGTGCATGCATGTGGGCATTTATTGGTGTGAATGTAAAAGAGTACATGATGTGCACGGAAGCTAATGAAAAATACAACTGTGTAAGAGCCCAAAAAATTATTCTGCCTGTATGTACAGAGAAGTTTGGAATATAAAGGGGGGAGGATTAGGAAACCACAGTGAATCATACTGCTTGGTAAAGAAATGTGGGTATAGAGAATTTTGATATAGATGTTCAAATAAACTTTTCAGAGATTTTTTGTAACAAAATCCTGTAGAAAATGTGATGCATTTTCCTGATGTTTCATTAGCCCCTTATTTTTTGAAGGATATAACTTGTACTGGAATTGATGCTATGTACCTACTTCTGATTTGAGTTTTCGGAAGGTACTGCTCAAAGAATTGGATGAATTGGTGTAATTTTCAGCTGAGGAATGGCTCATTTTGCTTTCTTAAGGAACATTTTGTGGGAGAATATTTTTAACCAAGGTCTCTCCAAGAATGTCTGGTTATTAAGCGATGTAAAATTTCAAATCTTCACTTCTTTTGGCAAAGTGCTCACTTTCTGTTGTCCCATATTCTTTAGTATTTTGAAGTAATACAGGGTTTAAATTCTGCTTATTTAAGCTTAAAAAGTAAGATTTTTTTGATAGCTGTGTGGCTGTCACCTGTACTGCTAAATCAATCATTCTGTTGATGTAGCTACTCTGCTAACATGCACAGTCTGGAGACTTCCTGAAGTCTCTACTGATCGGGGTTGGTAGAGCTCCTAAGAAATGGCAAAGCTGGGCACAAGTCATTAAGTAGGAAAGATGCAGCCAACAAACTGGTGGGAGGCTTAGAAAAATCATTCATTATTTAATATACTTAGCAAACAGACTGTAATTTACTTCCAGCAGCCTGCTCAAACAAAGCTATAAATTATCAGCTTTGCGAAGTTAATCTGGAAAGGTGTTGAGTACTTTGGCCCTATCTCTGCTAAGTACTTGGGTTGGGAGGCAGCGAAGCAAAAGGCAGAAGACCACTTATGCAGCATGGCTGCTGTTAGTCAATTTAAACATGTGGCACCTAATGTGCTCATCCTTCGGTTTTGTTTCATGTTTAGACTTTGTCTACTATGCCTGGGTTTTATTCAGTAAAGGGAAATTGTTCAATCGTGCTATAGTTGAGGGGAGTAACACCACCCATGCTTAGCTTCAAGGATATGCCTTATCAAAACCCAGCTTAAGTACACGCTTAAAATTATACTCATGGTTAAATACTTTCATGAGTTGAGCCATGCTCAGCAGGGTAATTTGTATACTGAAAATTAAGCATGTATTTAGTTACCTCCCTGTATATTAGACTTGTATTTCTTTTTTGCGCGAGTACCTAGAAGGAGAAAGCTCGTACCAAGATCTTTTCCTTTGCACTGTTCCCCACTAATAAGATAACAGACAAGGTGAAGCTGCACTTGTTCCCTTTGTGTGTCACAGGTGTAAAGCTTCTCCCTTCTTTCTCTTTCCTTCTGTGCAGGAAGACACAGCACAGCTCTCTGGACCAGAGCTCCCCGCCCCAAAGTGGCGTCTCCAGCACCTACAATCACCCTGTACTGGGGATGTACGATTCCAAAGATGACTTTCCACTCAGAAAAACAGGTAGCGCTCACATTGATTTTCTGTGTTGCCTGTTGTCTTTACTATGACACTTGGTCCTCTTATTATTATTTAAAAAAAAAAAGAAAAAGGGTGTGTGTTACCAAAAAGCTGTATTTCATGGGGTGATTTGTTTAACCAGCACCCACTCCATCCTGCTCCCCTTTCATCTGTCACTGTGCACAGTGTTAGAGGGAGGCTGGCGTTGCTTTGGGTGTGCAGACATGCAAAGCTGCAGGCAGGAGACAGCGGAGTTGTGTGTCAAAGTTTATGAGATGTTTTCACAAAGTCAAAGCTAATACAGAGATCTGGGTGTCTGAAGTCAAAGTATGTTTTGCTGAGTGAGAAAAGTACCAAGAAAAGTTCATTTCTTCTGGGATTTGCATTTATATACAAGTTTATACTTAAAATAAATAAAAATATTTCTGCCAGTCAAAGCGTCGGGACTTCCTGCAAGGATTTTGGTTCACACCTAGACAGTTATTTCTCAGTTAGGTTTTTCCCTGCACAGTGGCTAAGCAGGTCAGTTATTTCTCAACTATATATTATGTAAACCAGGTTGTTTTGGTTGGCTGTGGTCCTCAGCTCCATATCACATGCCTAAGCCAACACAGCCTCAGCTTCTAACCTGGCCAGCTCGTGATCCTCAGCTGCTTCCTTCGGGGAATAGCTGAGCTTCCATGAGCTCAATTCATCCCAATTTGGGAAGCAATGCTGCTTGAATGGATGGTGGAGACAGTGCCATGTGTTGGAAATTGCTTCACAATAGGAAAATAACTTTTCTGAAAAGATGCGTGCAGAGGTGTGATTGAACTTCACGCCTTCATAGAATCATAGAATACCAGGTTGGAAGGTTCCTCAGGGATCATCTGGTCCAACCTTTCTAGGCACCTTCTGAAGGTGCTGCCTAGATATTCTTCAGGTGTGCTTTCTGGATCTTTAAATGTGGAGGGATGAGGACCAATACTCAAAAAATGTGACATCCTTGTGATAAGGAATGGTGATGGTTTTAACCAAATGTCCCTGTGAGTTTCCTATTGTCTTTGCTCAAATCAGCTACCCTCAGTCAGTTCCCAAGAGCTAGCAGCCCCTCCATTCCCTTCTGGGAGGGGTGTTCCCACAGGACTTCTGCTAATAGTTAGAAGTAGAGCAGTTCTTGGTTGTAGCGAATGTTTTAACACAATTCTCATTACCTTTGTAAACTTGGGGTGTTTTTTTCTTCTTTCACCATCTGATGAGAAAAAAATATACCTCCACACATATGCCTTGTGCCTTCTGCCTCCCAGTTCTGTGGATTTAAAGACCTTTTTGGGAACTTCTCATTCTGGACCATAGCACCTGGCTTGCTGGACGGATCAGTGGATGGCTTCCCATCTGCTGTGCAGTAGGCTGTCTTCCCCCTCACTGGGCATGGTTGGTTGTGTGGCAGGTGCCAAACACTTCAGCTGCACAAGAAGTCAATCAAAAATTGGCAAGCCCTTTCCACAGGGCATGTTTTTTTTCCTGGGCACATCCTGTACCTTTGGTGGAGGTAGTTTTAACTGCACCCTTTCTGGAGGACTCCAAAACCAGAGAAAACTGGATTTGCTGAAGGGTAGGGTATCTTCTTATCTCTGCTTCTAGATAATGAAAGACCAAACACCCCATTAGGTACAGTAAATGCTGCTGCGTTGTCAGTGCCCAGGACAGCCGAAGCAACACTTTCTTCAGGACTTTGCCTTTCATAGGGGAGGTGAGCTCTGATGGAGGACTGCCCTCAAAGGAAACTTCCTTCAGCTCTAAAAACGTTGAAGCACAAAGCTGTGCTTGGCATATGTCTTCCTGGCAGGAGACATGCAACCTCAGGCTTCTAGCAGCCATTGCTGCTGTTCGCTTCTCCTCTGCTGAAGGCTTTCAGGCTCCTCTGGGAAATTGCAGCGTTTCCATGCAGGGAAGCATCCCTTGGCAGCATACATATCACTTAGGGCCTGTGGACAGTGTGATGCCAAGAGATTTTTAGTTCTTTCCTATACATTGCGAAACCAGGTGATCCATTTCTGGTATGTTAGCATCCCCACAGCATAAACGGGCTTTGATGTACTCTAAAACCTCCCTTGCTTATCACTTCAGGGGACCTTACTTGTCAGACTGAGTTTGAGGATCAGTTGCCCTTCTTACTCCTGGTGTTACGGAAGGGGATTTCTGCAGGAGAAGGAAAGCATCTGCACATCTCGCTCCTTTGCTGCTTCCCACACTGAGCTCTCAATAAGACTCTGTCTGAATAAAAGCCCTGTCAGACAGGGTGAATTAAGGATGGTAAATGCATTTAATCACATTATTAAAAATGGAAGCAACCAGAATCATTGTTGTTTTGAAACAGGAAGATGTTGAGCTGATTTTGTTTTTCCAGAACACTGATGCTTGTTCTTTTTGGGCACCAGTATTAATCTTTTCAGGACTGGTCTGTCATACATACGAGTTCATTTGCAAGGTTCAGGGGAGAATTTTTTTTTGTTGTTTTCTTTTATTTTCCTTTCAACACAACAGCACTTCAATCTCTGGCACAGCAATATCCTGCAGAAATCCCATTGCCAAGAATGCTAAGTTGCTTGGAGAAGAAAGGCTCCTGAACAGTCTGGTGTAAACAAAAGGCAGGGAAGGCTGGAGCCCATCCTAAATAAAGTTCTTTATTATGGGTGAGCTTTTCAGATTTTTGGCACCAGGCAAAACTCTGGCTTTGTGTTTGTAATTTAAAACTGCCATATCATGTAGTCCAATTTTATTAAATTTGCTTAAATATTTGCAGTTCAGATAACAGAGTCCATCACAATACAGTTCTGATTACCAGGGCTGGAATCTAACCAACATCATCGTTAGGGGTAGGGTGACTTACGGGGCTGTGGGAAGGCAGTTAAATAATCATTTCTTCTAGGGTAAGTTTTCAGAGTTGGCAGAGCGTCCTGCACGTTGAGAAACTGTTCAGGAAGAATAAATATGTCATTGTGCTGGGTTTTAAAAATACTACCTTTCCTTACTCTCTCCTATTTAAAGCATCATGATGTGGTCACAGGTTACCACTCTGCGCACATTTGGAGATAACTTGCTAGTCTATAACTTGAGTGTGAATGTTGTGGGAGAGACCAGTGAACTGGCCACGCTCGCTTTGGTAGAAATAGATGTGTGCATGAATAATGACTTAAGGGTGCTTGAAAATATTCAGCATGAGAAACAGTCAACGCTTGCAACGTGCTCCTAATGTATCCTGTCCCCTGAAATCCTACCCTGTCTGATTTGTTTTACTAAATTATGTTCCAGTTTCTTGGCCATTTGGTTTCTGCATGAAATTGTTTTCCTGTCAGGCTGCTGGCTGGTGCAGTTCCTAATTGCTTGAATCCTGTTTTTAGCTTGGCTGGGGGATGCATTTCACTTGGTTCCCTCTATCTATATCCCCCACTTTGGGGCTCTTCTTTTTTTTTGACTGAATTAAGAACAGTTCGGTTGGTGCTGCTCATGCTTTTGCTGTTAACTGGATCAATACAAGGGTTTTTATTTCCCCTTTTGTGGTTTCTTTTATTATATATACGTTTCCTATAGTGTATGCATTTTGTTGACAGCTGTTGAGAGGGGAAAATATGTGTGATCTTTTCTGCCCCCAGATCAAGGTTGGTGCCTTCCAAATTTAATGAAGCTTCATTATGTGCTGCACTGGGACCCTGCAACAAAATCTCTGGAGAACACTTTCAGAGGATTTTAGAGTCTAGGTTGGGGCAGTCTTTTATAACCTGTTTTGATAACCCTGAGAGTTGTTTGTCAACAGCTTTCTTGGAGCTGCTGAGATTATTTTTAAGGTAGCTTTTCAGTTTTGTGTTTCTAAGGAATATGATGTCCTCATTTTCTCCCCAGGAGCAAGGTTGTTCATGGTGTTCCCTGCTTTGTGGAATTTGAGCTGTGGACGTATTAAAACATGCTTTTAATTAGAAAGCCAACACAACCACTGTCATTGAGATTCATAAAAGACTGAAGAGAATTATTTTACTTTTTAACATGCTTTTCCTTTTGCTTATGTAGGGTTTTTTGTTTGGTTTTGATTTTTTTTTTTTTTTTTTTTACATCCCGTGCAAGGCTGAACCATGTCCTGTCAGACACTAGCTTTCCCACTTACTCCTGCAGAGAGGTAGGATAAGGATTCCTTGCATTCATTGGGACTTGACAGCTAATCACGATTTCTAATGAAAGCCATGGCATTTCAATCAGTTGTCATTAAAATCAGGTGAAGTTTTGCCAAACTCAGCACCTGCTAGAGTCATCTGGCCAACACACATTCAGCTCACTGGGATGCATGAACTGGAAACATATCCCTGCATCTATATTTAAACCTGACCCCAAAGTGAGAAAAACAGCTAAATTCTTTTGAAGTACTTGCAAAAGTTGTTCTCCAAAGTTGTAAGTGTAAAAATGGCTGCATCCGTAGGACCTGCGTGGGATATGAAGCAGGCTCAGATCTTGTTGTGGTTTTGCTCCTGCTGTTGGATAAAGCAAACCTTTCCCAAGACAGCCACTCTCCTTCAATACTCCTTGTGCCCATGCAGGAGGGATCTTTCCCTTTTCTGATGCTTACTTCCCCTGCCCTGGGCTGGCTGCTGGTCTTTAAACCTTTCTCCTGACAGACCTGTCAGCAGAGGTTGGATTTCTGACAAAGCTGATGTTGCCAAAAATGCACTATTGTTTCATTTTGTCCTTTCTTGTTTGTGCTTCTCAGCACTCTTGCGTTTGCCAAACTGCTGTAGTTCGTTGCACACAAGAAGACCTCCTGCATCCATCAAGAGCAACGGACGGCTGATTTTTGGTGTCTTTGGCTTGGTTCCTGGGGCTACTTGGCCCACGGCTGCGGCCAGCACCGCGCCCCGTTTTTGGAA